GCATCGGCATTGGCGTCGGCGTCGGCGTCGACAGCGTCGTCGTCGTCGTCGTCGTCGATTGCGGCATTGTCGGCGGTGGCGGCGACGCATAGAAGGAGGAGGAGGAGCAGGAGGAGGAGGAGGAGGAGGAGGAAGGATGACAGCATGGCCGAGAGAGAGAGAGAGAGAGATATTGAAAAGAGAGAGTGGGAGAGAGATAGAGAGAGCGGGAGAGAACGAGAGAGAGAGAGAGAGAGAGAAATATACATAGAGAGATATAGAGGGAGAGAGAGAGAGAGAGAGAGAGAGAGAGAGAGCGACAACGAGAGAGGAGGAGGAGGAGGTGGAGGAGGAGGCGGAGGAGGAGGAGGAGGAGGAGGAGGAGGAGAGGAGGAGAGACGAGTGCAGAACGACGACGTGATTTGTTTTCGATCGTATCCTCCATCGTCTCCTCGTCCCCCCTCCACGTACTCTGGCGATGATGCTGCGGATGATGGTGATGATGGTGATGCTGATGACGACGATGATGAGAACACCGATGACGATGCTGCTGGTGGTGAGAATAAGCAGCATGAGCATGATTATGACGATTATGATAATGCTGCGGCTGCTGATGATGACAACGATGCTGGTAATGATGATGATGATGATGATGATGATGACAACGATGCTGATTGTGATGATGATGCCGATGCTGATGGTGATGATGATTATGATGACGATGACGACGACGATGGTAAGGCTGGTGGCGCTTGTGATGGTTTTGGTGATGCTGATGATGCTGTTGGTGACGTTGATGATGGTGATGATGTTGATGATGGTGATGATGATGCTGCTGACGACGATGATGATGATGGTAATGATGCTGATGATGTCGATGGTGATGGCGATGGTGATGGTGGGTTGGTGATGATGATGGTGATGATGATGATGATTGTGATGATGCTGGTGATGACGACGACGATGTGGATGCTGATGCTGATGATGATGATGGCAATAGTGATGGTGATCGTGATGCTGATGGTGATGATGATGCTGCTTCTGATGCTGATACTGATGACGATGCAGATGACGACGATGATGATGGTGATGATGGTTGTGGTGATGATGGGGATGGTGATGTTGATGATGATGATGCTGATTACGACGACGATGCTGATGACGATAATGGTAGTGATGATGGTGTTGGCTGTGGTGCTGGTGGTAACCGTAACGATGATGGTGATTCTGGTTATGATGGTTATGATGCTGATGTTGATGACGATGCCGATGACGATGATCATGCTGCTGATGCTGATGATGATGATGATGCTGAGGATGATGATGATACTGTTGATGCTGTTGGTGATGGTAAATATGACGATGCTGATGATGTTGATGATGATGATGCTGATGATGATGATGATGAGGAAGCTGCTGGCGATGATTACGCTAACGACGACGACGACCACGGTGAATATGATGGGGATGATGATGATGGGAATGATGATGATGATGATGATGATGATGATGATGATGATGATGATGATGCTGATGATGATGATGATGATGATGATGATGATAATGCTGATGTTGATGCGGAGGAGGGTTGCGATGAGGGTGATGATCAGGACGCGGATGGCTATGACGATGATGGTGACGATGATGCTGATGATGATGATGATCCTGATTATTCTGATGATGATTTTGATTCTGATAATCATGATGATGTTATGGGGATGATGACGACGAAGATGCCGACGAATACGACGACGATCATGATGGGGTTGATGATGCTGATGATGATACTGTTGATGCTGTTGGTGATGGTACGTATGATGATGCTGATGGTGTTGATGATGATGATGAGGAAGATGCTGAGGATGATTATGCTAACGAACACGACGACCACGGTGAATATGATGATGATGATGGGGATGATGATGATGATGATGATGATGATGATGATGATGATGATGATGATGATGTTGATAATGCTGATGTTGATGCGGAGGAGGGTTGCGATGAGGGTGAGGATCAGGACGCGGATGCCTATGACGATGACGATGACGACGATGATGCTGATGATGATGATCCCGATTATTGTGATGATGATGGTGGTGCTGATGATCATGATGATGTTATGGGGATGATGGCGACGAGGATGACGACGCATACGACGACGATCATGATGGTGATGATGATTGTGATGCTGATGATGCTGGTGCTGTTGATGATGATGCTGATGATGATGAGTCTGATGATGATGCTGATGATGGTGCTGATGCTGATGATTGTGATCATGATGATGATGATGGTGGTGATTTTGATTATGGTGATGCTGGTTACCATGGTTATGCTGATGATGACGACGATGACGATGATAATGATGATGCTGCTGCTGATGATGATTATGATGCTGTTGCTGATGATGATGATGAGGATGATGATGCTGCTGCTGCTGATGATGCTGATGATGCTAATGATGATTATGATGATGCTAATGATGATGATGCTGATGATGATGATGATGATGATGATGATGATGCTGATGATGATGATGATGATGATGATGATGATGATGATGATGGCGACGAGCACGACGGCGACGCGGCGACTGATGATGATGGTGATGATGGTGCTGCTGCTGATGACGATGATGGCGATGATGAGGATGACGATGCTGATGATGCTGATGATGATGCTGATGGTGATGCTGATGCTGATGATAATGAGGATGAGTACGCTGATGATGCTGCTGCTGATGCTGATGCTAATGCTGATGCTGATGCTGCTACTGCTGCTGATCATGACGATGATGATGATGATGATGATGATGATGATGATGATGATGATGATGATGATGATGATGATGATGATGATGATGATGATGATGATGCTGATGATGCTGATCATGTTGATGAGGGAGGAGGATAATGGCAGATGCTACAGCTTCGAGGCTAAAGTCGGGGCAACGTAAGTTACCCGAGAAGTACCCAGCCTCTTCTCTCCACGCGAGGCGACTATGTATATGAACGCCTGGATCTGCGTGACTACCGCCTCCGCTGCACCTCCCACGCCCACAACAGTGGCGACAGTTGCGCAGTTGGTAGCCCCTCAGGGAGCCGCGAGATCTCCTGGACTACAGCCTCCGCTGCACCTCCGAGGAGCCCACGAAAGTGGCGACAGTTGCGCAATTAGCAGCCTCCCGGGGAGCCGCGAGGTCTCGCGTGCTTACCGCCACCGCTGAACCTCCGAGGAGCCCACGCAAGTGGCGACAGTTGCTCAGTTGGCAGCCCCTCAGGGAGCCGCGAGGTCTCTGCACCTCCCAGGAACCCACCAAAGTGGTGACAGTTGAGCAGTTAGTAGCACCACCAGGAAGCCGCGATATCTCGCGTGACTTCCGCCTCCGCTGCACCTCCGAGGAGCCCACGAAAGTGGCGACAGTTGAACATCTTGAAGCATGAGAAACCATCATTCTCAGGATTTCAATGCCGCGAGTGAACCTGACTGTTACGTCTTGGCGATCCTGATTTATGCCAGAATACCATTCCTGGTACCTTTAACACCGCGCCTCAACGTAATTGTTGCGCTATGTCCTGAATCGCTCCCAAAACGCAATTTCTGGTACGTTAGCCATGGGAATCCGTGAGACTCGTGCAGACGTTTAAAACGAATGTGCGCGGCGCTAGGGCGAGAGCCACATGTTGAAAACCAACCCCCCTCAATCCGTGAAGTTCTTGCAATTTTTGGGAGCGAACGTGCGCGGCGCTAGGGCGAGAGCTACATGTTGGAAGCGATCCGCCCTCCATCCGGCTCATAAGTGGTGAGCAAGCCTCAGGCGAAACGTCCGGCCCGCCCTTTCGACCGGCCTCGGGGTGCGACAGGGAGGAGTTACCTATAAGGAAGAGAAATGGAGAGGAAGTAGGCCACAGTGCTCTACTCAAAACGGGATCTCAACATGCAGGAGGGCTGGGAAAGCAAATGAGGGGGAGGGGGAGGAGGAGAGGGGGAGAGTGGAGGAGGAGGAGGAGGAGGTAGGAGGATGGAGGAGGAGAGGGAGGAGGAGGCAGGAGGACGAGGGGAGGAGGTGAGGAAGGAGGAGGCGGAGGAGGGAGGAGGAGGAGGAGGAGGAGGAGGAGGAGGAGGAGGAGGAGGAGGAGGAGGAGAGAAGTAGGGGGAGGATCAAGAAGAGGAGGAGGAGGAAAAGCAGGAGGAGGAGGAGGAGGAGGAGGAAAAGGAGGAGGAGGAGGAGGAGGGGGAGGAGGAGGAGGACGGGGAAGATGGAGGAGGAGAGGAGGAGGAGGAGGATGGAGGAGGAGGAGGAGGGAGGAGGAGGAGGAGGAGGAGGTAGGACGGCGGAGGAGGAGGAGGAGAGAGGAGGAGAGGGAGGAGGAGGAGGAGGGACGGCGGAAGATAGAGGAGGAGGAGGAGGAGAGAAGGAGGAGATGAGGAAGGAGGAGGAGGAGGAGGGAGGAGGAGGAGGAGGAGAAGGATAGGAAGAGGAGGAGGAATAGGAATAGGAGGAGGACAGGAGGAGGAGGAGGAGAGGAGGAGGAGGAGGAGGAGGACGGAGGAGGATGAAGGAATGAGCGAGGAGGAGGAGGAGGGGGAGGAGGAGGAGGAGGAGGGGAGAGGAGGAGCGGAGGAGGAGGAGGAGGAGGAGGAGGAGGGGAGGAGAGGAGGAGGACGGGGAAGATGAGGAGGAGGAGGAGGAGGAGGAGGAGGAGGAGGAGGAGGAGGAGGAGGAAGGGAGGAGGAGTAGGAGTAGCGAAGAGGAGGAGGAATAGGAATAGGAGGAGGAGGAGGGAGGAGGAGGAGGAGGAGGAGGAGGAGGAGGAGGAGGAGGAGAGAGGAGGAGGAGGAGGAGAAGGAGCCACCTCCCCGCCACCGTTCCCCGACGCCTCCCCCCCCGTTCTCAGCCCCCTTCCTTGACGGAGTCACCCCCCCGTCGTCTCGCGAGCCCGCGACAGCTACGAGGGCTCTTCGCGCCCGCGCGCTGGGCTCCCCCCCGGGTCCCCGCGGGCGGCGGCTGCCCATCGATGGAGGCCGGAAAGGAGAAGGTGAAGCAGCTTGTGGAGGAGAAGCTCGTCAAGGAACGAGCACTCGTTCTTGCCGTCTCTCCTTTTCCGTCGGTGTGTTTGTATGTGTGTGTGTGTGTGTGTGTGTGTGAGTGTCAATTCGACCAGCGCAGTCACCCTCTGCCTAGCCGCCGACGCAAGAAAGTGTGTCAATTCGAGACGCTTCGCGTAACCCCACCAGCCCGTGCCGCATCCTGGACGCCGCTTCCGCTCCCTGACCGTTGCCTTGGAGCCGCCGACCAAAAAGTAACCCCACCAGCCCATCCAGAAACGATGCCCAGAGGAATTGCCTCGATCAGGGAAGTGGGCAGCACACCCAGGAAGGGTCTCCCAGTGGAGGCCTCTTGGAGCGTCTTGGGGGCCTCTTGGTGGTCCTGGACGCCTCTTAGAGCGTCTTGGGTGCCTCGGAGAGCTTCTTGGGGCCTCTTGGGGTTCTCTTGAGAACCTCTTGGAGGCCTCTTGGGCGCCTGTTGGGGCCTCCTGGGGCCTCCTGGGCGCCTTGGGGCCCTCTTGAAGCTCTCTTTGGTGCCTTGGGAGCGCTCTTGGGGCCATCTTGGAGGACATCGATCAAACAAGAGGTGAGCATCAATTGGCGTTTCCCCTCGGGAGCCCCAAAAGCCGCCTCTCGGGGCGCTCTTGGGGCGCTCTTGGAGCGCTCTTTGGCGCTCGTGGGGCCACCTTGGGGCTCTCTTGAGCCTCTCTTGGAGCCCTCTTGGGCCATCTTGGAGCCATCTTGAGGCCTCGGATGGCCATCGGAAGCGAGAAGGCGAGAGAGCCAAAACATAGATTTTCCAAAGGTGTTGGAAGGATTTTGGCCTCTTCGGGGGCACTTGGAGCCGTCTTGGAGCGGTCTTGGGGCCTCTTAGAGCATCGTGGGAGCCATCTTGAGGCATCTTGGGATGTCTTGAGCCATCTTGGAGGTCATCTTGGGCTCTCCCAGGCGCTCTTGGAGTCATCTTAATCAGTGCCCCTCCCCAGGAGGCCAAACTGTGGCCAAAACCTTAGTAACATCAATGATTTTGGCATTCTCGCCGAGGCCTCTTAGAGCGTCTTGGGTGCCTCTGGGGGGCCTCTTGGGGGTCTCTTGGGAGCATCTTGGGGGCATCCTCGGGGCCTCTTGGGGGTCTCTTGGAGCCTCCTTGCCACCTTTTGGTGTCCTCTGGGGCACCCTTGGGAGCCTTGGGAGCGCTATTGGGGTCATCTCGGAGGAGATCGATCAAAGAACGGGGGTCCCCTGATTGGCCTTCCCCCCCGAGGAGGCCAAAATGGGGCCAAAACCGTAGTAAAACCAATGATTTTCGCCGAGGCCGTTTTGGACGCTCCGACCGCTCGCGGAACGCTTCGTCCAGGTCCCGGGTAGGGGGTAGGGGGAGGGGTCAAGATTCCCTCCCCGCCCGCAAGCCGTCTCGCTCACTCCCACCCGCCCTCCCAACACATACGTAGCACCCGAGTCTGGCCCCAGCCTCAGCATATTGAGCAGTCGTCTTTGGATGGGCAGCTACTGGGGGCCAATCCGCCGCCGCCGCCGCCGCCGCCTCCGCCGCCGCCGCCGCCGCTTCAGCCGCAGCCGCCGCCGCCGCGCCGCCGCTGCCCGCCGCGCCGCGCCGCCGCGCCGCCGCCGCCGCCGCCGCCGTCGCCACCGCCGCGCCGCCGCCTCCGCCGCCGTCCGCCGCCGCAGCCCGCCGCCGCCGCCGCCGCCCCCGCTGCCAAATCGCCGCCGCCGCAGCTACTACCGCCGCAGCCGCTGCCGCCACCGCCACCGCGGCCGCCGCCGCCACCGCCGACGCCGCCGCCGCAGCCGCCGCCGCCGCCGCCGCCGCCGCGAAATGTACTTTGTATTGTTTTTTGACAGGGATGGTGGGGGGAGGCCGCATCGGGTTGGTTGCGCATTTTCGGAATTTGGAGGCAGTGTGTGTTTCTATGGTTTTTTACAAGGGATGGTGGGGGGGGTGCCCGCATGGTTCTGGGTTGGCTACAAGTCGCCTGGGGGAGGGGGTGTTTATGAATAGGGAACACTGATAAACCCCTTCCCGAAGGGGAAGAAGGGGTTGGAAGAGGAAACACCCTAGACCACCTACGCCCAGAGGGCTGGTGGGATTCGCTTTTCGGCGCCCCCGGCTACTTCTCTCGCTGTGCAGCCAATTCTGCCTCGCCGCCGACGGCAAAGTGTGTCTGTGTGTATGTGTGTGCTGCGCGCGTGTCTGTGCGTGTGCGTGTGTGTGTGTGTGTGTGTGTGTGTGTGTGTGTGTGTGTGTGTGTGTGTGTGTGTGTGTGTGTGTGTGTGTGTGTGCGTGTGTGTGTGTGTGTGTGTGTGTGTGTGTGTGTGTGTGTGTGCGTGCGTGCGTGCGTGCGTGCGTGCGTGCGTGCGTGCGTGCGTGCGTGCGTGCGTGCGTGCGTGCGTGCGTGTCTTACTCACTGTGCGATGTTCTGGTCTCCGTCTCCCCTCTCTCCCCGCCTCCCCGTCGCCCCTCCCCCCCGCTGCTCCCCTCGCGACTGCCCCCTCGCGAGTGATGCTGGCGATCCCCCGTGGGCGGCGGACACAGTACGGTGGGGGCGTTCGTTAAGGAATGCGGCCAGGAGGCTTCAGACCCTGGAGGGTTCCTTATCTGCTGAGGGCGGCGGTGATATCCATGGCCAATCCACGATTGGAGTTCCACCGGCTTCCAGACTCCGGATTCCTTATCCAATGCTGCCTTATCCAATGCCCCCGCCGTATCTCCACGCCATGTGATTTGGGCCAGCCGGGCGTGTACCTTGGCCCCACTTTCTACGCCGGGCCGCTGCGCGCGTGGCCGCAACGCCAAAGCATGCGTGGTTCGCACCTGCACTTGGTGCCGGTGTACAAAGGCAAACCCTCCCACGCGACCATCTCTGCTCTTTTACCTTGCTGCGTTCTTACAGTCGGGCAGCGGCACTCATTGGCCACGCTTCTACGCGCTCGTACGCCTACCTACTCTTGCTTTGCATTACAGTGCGTGATCGCTTCTGCCTGTTCCGTGTGCGTCTGCTTCAGGTTTTCTGGATGTGATTGCCCCCCATTCAGTCCACTCATCTGCTATGAAAGGTGGAAATTCGCTCAAGCGTGTCCTGGCGTAGCGCATGGCGACGGTGTGGTCTCCTCGCCGCTGGAAGAAATGTGTGTGTGTGTGTGCTGCTCTTCTTTGCCGCCCTGGAACAACGTGGGGTACTCATACAGCTGCACCGACCTGGATCGGGCAGATATAGGGCGTTTCAACAGTGCATCCGCGCCGGAGGGCCCCCGGCGGCGCAGGAGGGCCCTGCCGCGGGGGGGGGCCTGCGCTCCAGGCGACGGACGAGCCCGCCTCGAGGGGCGGCGGCGCAGCGGAGCCGGTGGCACAGCGGGGCATCGCGGTGCACAGCGGTGCACGCCGAAGGATCGGCGAAGGATCCTGGCGAAGGATCGAATGAGTTGCCATCTTCTCCTCGGCGGAGGGCGGCGAGAGGCCAGCGGAAGGCCGGCAGAAGCAAAAAACGGTGGCGGCTCCGCCGGCGGAGGCCGGCGGAAGCCGGCGGAAACTCGGCGCAAGGCGGCGGAAGTAAAAGCTGTGCACCCAAGAGATGAGTGCGTTTTTGGGTTCAGGGTTTCGGAAATCGCCCACTTATCCACCTGCACCGACCCGTGTCGGGCCGATAGCACGACTCCCCCAAGCAGCCGGATATGCGTTCCAGGCCTCTCAGGAGGGGGAAAAACACACAGACACAATTAATCGTCGACTCCCCCGAAAAGATGGGAAAATATGGGAAGTGGGGGGGGGAAGACAAAAACCCATAATATATTTATACTTATATATATATATATATATGTGAAAATATGGGGAATCTTTTTATTTGTGTGTATTTATTTGTGTGCCCTGGGGCCCCTTCACGATTCCCCCAAGCAGCTGGATATGCGCTCCGGGCCTCAGCCAGGCAGGGGCTGCCACGCCGACCCATGTGGGCCCAGGAGCGGGCTGGCCAGGCCAGGGGCGGGCGGATATTCGGCGCCCCTTCCTCCTCCTCCTCCTCCTCCCTCCTCCTCCTCCTCCTCCTCCTCCTCCTCCTCCTCCTCCTCCTCCCCCTCCTCCTCCTCCTCCTCCTCCTCCTCCTCCCCCTCCTGTTTGATCGTCGAGAGGAGCGGGGGATCAACCCCGTGACCATCGTGCGGAACTACGAGCCGTGGCTGTTCGGCCTCTTCACGCCGCATCCCCGCTACCCCCCGCAGAAGCTCACGCTCGACTCGCTGCTGGTGCACGGCATCCCCAGGCTCCCCGCGGCGTTCTTTCGTTTTGCAGCCCGCCTGCGGCGCCGGGGCCCTCGTTTTCGCCCTGTCAGTGCACAGCGCTCTCTTGATCTATTGATGGGCTGCGACAGCAGCAATGACGAGTGGCAGCGGCAAGAAAGAAGGGCCCGCTCGATGCCCTGGTTTGCCGCCGCAGTGGAGGCTCCAGCGGCAGAGGCGGAGACAGCTGTTGACGGAACCGTCAAGTTTGATTCATGCCCTGCTCCTGCCGCTGGCTCCTCCCCCAGCGTCTCCTTGCGTCGCACCCTTTCCTCTCGAACGGGAGCAATTGCCAATCGGCCCAGTGGGTTCGATAGAAGAACGCACGTCGGGTCGAGCATAGTACATTCCGCGTCCACTTGCGAATTTTTCTTCCGCATTTTCTAACAATCTCCAGCTTCAATGCCCCGCGGCAGTTCTCAGTACGAAGTCATGTGCAAGCTTTCTTCGCAAAACACTGTGTGGGGTGGGGGCTGGGGGCTTGGCGGCGGGGCCTGGGGCGAGGTAGGGGGAAGAAGGCGCCGCCACACTGCTTGCCACCCTGCTTGCCACTATGCATGTCGCTGGCAGTGACATGATATTCCCCCAGGTTGGCCCTCCTGACCATCCTGGCGGTTTGCAGTGTGGTCGGGATGGTACTGGTTCTGTACTGGATCGGCCTGTGGTGGTTGCTAACGTTTGTCTCTATACCTCTGGGATATGCTGGCTACCTTAAGGCAAAACGTGCAACGGTTGCCACCACTGAAGAGCGCAAGAAGGTGGCCGACGTCGACCTCAAATGGTTTGAGAACTGCAAGGAGTGCTTCAGCCCAGATTCGATGGCAGTGCAGCTTTCGCGGCAAAAGTTGGTGAAGGAAGCTTTGGCCAACGTTAGGCCGCAGGAGTCCGCGAATTTCAATAGCTACGTCGGTGGTGCAACCTCTTTGGCCGTGTACGGGTGTGGCATTCTCGCTGCTGGCCACGTTGGTGGGCTCAGGGCCCTGGAGCAGCATGGTCTGGCGTATCCCGCCGCGTTGCCGCGCGAATCCGTCACCGCGCTCGTGGATGTAGCAGCGGTGCTCAGTGTCACCACATGGTTTTCATGCCGCATGGCTAAGTCGTTGCGACTGGAGGACGCTTTGGACACTGCGTGGGCGTATTGGTGCGTGTGCGCAGGGGCATGTGTGGAGTAACGCTGGCCATGCTCACGATGATGATGATGCTGATGATGCTGATGCTGATGATGATCATGATTGTGGTGGTGGTGGTGATGATGGTGGCGGTCGTGATGATGATGATGATGATGATGATGATGATGATGATGATGATGATGATGATGATGATGGCGATGGTCGTGGTGATAGTGATGGTGGCGGCGGTGATGATGATGATGCTGGCACCGACGATGTTGTCTGGTATGATTATGATGATGCTACTGATGATGAGTATGAAACTGATGAAGTTGCCGACGAGGACGATGACGACGATGAGGATGATGATGCTGCTGCTGATGATGATGCCATGGTGATGACGATGATGTTGCTGCTGCTGGTGATTCTGATGATGACGATGCTGCTGATGATGATGCTGCTGCTGATGCTGATGACGATGCTGCTGCTGATGATGGGGGTGGAGATGACGATGCTGATTCTGATGATGAGAATGCTGCTGCTGATGATGATGAGGATGACGATGATGATGATGATGATGATGATGATGATGCTGATGATGATGATGATGATGAGGATGAGGATGATGATTATGATGATGATGATCATGATGCTGCTGATGATGATGATGATGATGATGATGATGATGATGATCATGATGATGATGATGATACTGATTAGGACGATGATGCTGATGTTGCTGGTGATGGTGATGGTGGTGGTGATGATTCTGCTGAAGGTGATTCGGATGATGGTGATAATGGTGGTGGTGATGATATGAATGATGATGCTGATGATGTTAGTTACGATGATGCTGCTGCTGATGATGATGATGGTTATGATGATGCTGCTGATGATGATGATGATGATGATGATGATGATGATGATGATATTGATACTGCTGGTGGTGGTGATGGTGTTGCGGTTGTTGATGATGCTGCTGATGATGCTGATGATGATACTGATAATGATTATGATGTTGAAGCTGATGATGATGATGATGATGATGATGATGATGATGATGATGATGATGATGATGATGATGATGGTGGTGGTGGTGGTGATGGTGATGGTGATGGTGATGGTGATGGTGATGGGGGTGATGATGGCGACGGTGACATTCTGTTGATGATGCTGGCCTCTCGGTAGCATCTGTTGGGCTCCACGGGGGCATCGATCTGGGAGGCATTGGGGATGTTCGGGTTGTCTTCGGGGGGCCTTCGGCCGTGGAGTGAGGGGTTCTTGGGGTCGTCATCAACGGGAAGTGATCTCGATGCCGCCTGGCAGAGACTTAGGGCCGCCTCGGGCAGGTCTGGATGGTCGTCTTTGGTCTCTCTCGTGGTGGTCCTGGGGGGATTTTTCCAGGCTGTCTCGAGGCCGTTTGGGGGCCGTCGTGGGGGGCCTCCTGAATCGCCGGTGGCGCCGTCGGTGGCGGCCGAAATGACAGCAATCTAAAGCTTTCCAGCGGGCTTGTGCCATCCCGCTGGCCCCAGAAGGACAGGGCCACTGAGTGACCAGTGCAAGGGGTGAAGCAGGAGGAGGAGGAGGAGGAGGAGGAGGAGGAGGAGGAGGAGGAGGAGGAGGAATTGGAATTGGAATTGGCCCCTTCGCGATGCGAAATTCGACTGACTGGCTAGGCGGCAGGCCCAGCACCCTTGCTGCGCGCCTGAGCCCTGGTCGGCTTGGGCGGCTTACCAGCCACGAAGTTGTCGAGATACCCCCTCCGTGAGCCACTCATCTCGGAGGTGCACGGCTGGGCGAGCGGTTGTCTCATTTGCTCCCGTCCATAGAAACCGCAGGAACCACATATCCACGTGTCGGAGAGGGAGGAGTAGAGGACATAATGAGTGGGGTGGATCCAACCGCCCCCCAGATGTACTCTAAACTCCCTCGGCAGACTGGAGACATGGGAATCGACGTGCTCTAAAGAGAAGCAGGGAGAGGCCCTCCACTCGTTGAGAGTGCCCAAAGACGCATGCCCTCTACATCTAACACGCCTCCTGCCACAAACACTGAAGTGGTGATCGGACTGGAAGAAGGTGAGAGAGGAGGGGGAAGGAGAGGGAGGCGGCCTGGAAGACACTCCACTGGCGGTCGTCGTCCTCGCCGCCATCGCCTCGAGCGTCGACCGAAGAAGACGTTTCCTGACGAGCGAAGCATCAACCTCTGTCTTCATTATCCTTCCTCGCGTAACAGGGTCCACTCGAATGAGTTCGGCTCCTGCCCCTGCTAGATGGTCGGCAACTGAGTTGCCGAGCAACAGAAATGGATTGATACCGCAATCGAAGACACTTTCGGCCTCCACATGTGATGGGACTTGTAACACCACAATCTGCGACGGATCGCGACACTGAGACTGAAGTTCATCACGGATCAAACTCCAAGCCGACTTGTTGGAGCCACGGGGCTCCACATGGAACCCTTGATACCACCAATCCGAGAACCCACTGTTGTCGCTAGTACACACCATAGGCCCACGAGTGTGACGAATGGCCAGTAGGAGCCCCCAGACTTCACCACGAGGAACCGTCTGAGGGGCCCCTGGGAGCCCACCGTGCACCGCCGCCTTCACAGTAATAGGTTCACAAACAACTCCCAAGAACAGCCGCAGAGACTCCATACCGACGAAGACGAACATCAGAAGAGTCAGCCCCACCACTGGAGTCGCCGAAGACAAACAGGGGATCGTTGAACACCCCTAGTCCTAGAGCTGGCTCGTCGGAGTCCGCCTGGCTGCCCGTGCAGACCTGCCAGGCCTCCTCGCGCACGCTGCTGCGGGCACCTGGGGTCCAAGTGCTCGGGATGCGACCTCGACACCAAAAACATGGCTCGCTGTCCTGGCCCGTCAGGGCCCGAGGGCGGAGATGCTGGGTGTCGGTGTAAATGTTATGCCCGCGGTTTTCCGTGCACAACCAATGCCCATGGAGGGGAGTTTCAGGTTCCAGGCCGCATCTTGGACACAGGTTGATGCCGGTAGCGCGGGTCTCCTCGCACATACGAGACATCGGCCACGTGCCACCAACTGCGATGGTAAGCAGGGTCTCGGCGAGACGATTACCACCTGGAATCCGCTCCAAAAGGCGAAGGGTCTGCCTGAGAGAAGTATATCAGCCCCTGCCGAATAGTCCCTTCGAAATCGGCTAACAGCCCACTGATATCCTCAGACTCGGTAATCTCGTCGTCGGGGAAACGCAAGAGACACCAGACCCTTCATCATCTGTGGGCATGTCCCAATGCGTGGGCGACTTCGGGTTCCACCCGAACTCGAGCAAGTAAGCAACAATCATGGAGATAGGCCCACTCACGTGCTATGATACCTGTCTCGGTGCTAAAGCGCGCAGCTGCTGGACAACGCCAGGCCAAGCCGCACGAACTGGAGCACGAATACTGGGCTCTTGCAACCACGTCTGGAGCCAAAGGCGAAGACCCTCGCGCGGTAATCGATAGGCAGGGTCGTGCCCGTCAGCACGGAGATCGAGGAGGGTAGTAAGGCAACGCCCTCGCATGGCTGAAGATAAGACATTCCCAAGACGCCGCCTGCACTGTAAACGAAAAGTGCCAAACGCTCCCGTGATCTGGTGCCCGTACGTCGCAGCAGCCTGTGAGGCCGCTCGCTCAATGAGCCCCATGCTCACATACTCCTTCGAGGCCCGAGCACACCCCTTGATCTTGGTGCTCATGCCCTTGGCTTTGGAGACCCGTTTGACTCTGGCGGCTCTAGCGAGCCGCCCGGCCCCAAGATCGATCCCGAGATAGGTGGCTTGCAAGCCCGTCCGAACCTCAAAGCAATATGTCGCCCATCGGCGGCATGCGCGCACAAGGTAACACTCCTACTCGCCACGTGGAGACCGTGCTCAGCCGGCGTGCGACACGTGGCGAGGGTCCCCTTTGTACAACCTAGCTCTGACCAAGGCCCCAGTACCTGAATGCGACGGGGGCGGTGAAACGACCAACCAGGAAATCCACAGGGGAACCAGGAAATCGGTGGGCGAACGGGGACATTTTCCTGAGTCGAAGGGGGAACTCTTTTCGGGTCGAGTGGGGAAAAACCGAGGACGTCGAGCCAGACAATTTTCCTTACCGAATGGGGATTTTTTTTCCTGGTGAGGGTCTTGGTGCATTTACAGGGCGCTCAGCCGTTTGTGCAATCCAGCACTGTGTAGTTTTTCTGGAGCGGCTTCAGGTGTTAGCTTCTCTTGCCAGGGGGAATGGCATGCTGCTTCGCGTGAGTTTTGCGCCAATGAACGGAAGGCGACTTGGATCGTCAGGGGATCAGTCTTGCGTATTGACGTAGCAGCTATGATGCCTCTTTTCGGGTCGTGGACGAGCTAATGTTGCCAACCCATGCCCATCCCGTCCCGTCTCCAGGGATTTCGTATCTTCGTATGGTGGTGGGATGGGGAGACGGTCCGCCGCCCCCTGCGTTGCACGTATTGCGCAGGGTGGGTGGGGATCTGAGTTGAATTCTATGAGGAAGCCCACCGTATTTCCCCCTTCCCTTCCTGCTCCTGGTCCTGTCGGCGATGGCCCGGTCCTGCAGGGGTGTCCGAAAGCCTTGGGGGTAATGCCAAATACCCGATCCTGTTCGTGCGGCGTTGGCGCGCCAGCGACGCCAGCGAAGGCGTTCAAGGTCGAACTCTGCGACGCGGAAGCACCGAGGGACACGGTGGCGCCATTGGACACGACGGAATCCAATCTTGAACGATCGGGACTGCGATCGGCTCAAGGTTGAACGATCGACGCGGTGACAGAAATCTTTGGCACGGCTCTGGCAAGTGCTCGAACTCGTCCCGGCGGATCCTTTGCCGCTCAGGGCGCGCTTTCGACCCAAGGCCGTGGCACCGAACACCACGAGGCCTCCTGCGGGGCTAGGGGCTAGGGGGGTTGCAGGAACGGAGGCGCACGGGGGCGAGGGAGATCAGGAGGATGAGGAAGAGGGGAGCTGTAATGGATATGAGGCGTCCGTCCCAAACGGTTGGCACCCTGAATTTGAAAACTCGGCCTCGCTTGGAAGGTCTCGCCAGGCATGGAGTTTTCAAAACTAGGGCGGGGGGTTTTTGGGCGGCGACTCCTGCGCTTGCGCGGGGCCCGCGAACGAATCATCCGGAGATTGGCCCAGGGTGTGTGTTTCGCATGCTTCTGCCACTCAGTGTACGAGACTGACCATCCATCCTCCTTCCTTCCTTTTGCTCCAGTTTCCTCTTCCTGCCTTCACCTGCTCCTCGTACTTATGCTGCTGCTGCTTCTCCACCTCCTCCTCCTCCTCCTCGTCCTCTACAATGTCCTTCGGGCACTCCACCCTTTTCCGACTTGAATGCTCTACTTTGAGTTTGCTCGGCGGGTTTTTAGTTGGTCGACGAGCTGGATGGGTTGCGAAGTGGTGTCGTCGGCTTTTTCTCGCTCAGCAAGCTTCCGTTTTTTGTTTGTTTGTTGTTGTTTTTGTTTTTTGTTCTTTTGGGGCTCGTTTGACAAGTCCTTCGTTCCACCCAGGTAACTTCCTGGTCCGCTTCGCTCGCGTCCGCTCGCGTTCCTCGTTGGACCATGAACACTTTCTTGGTTCGGGAGGAACCTCCAGATTTTTCTTCGTTCGCCTCGAGAAATTCCTTTGTTCGCCTGTCGACCACACGGGGCTATGTTGAGATGGTCTAGGGGCAATGTGGTTTATGATGCTCTGGAGGTTTTCCGTCGGCTCTCAAAGGCGCGTTGGTGCATATTCGAAAGCTCGAAAGCTTGCGGGACGGCCCTCTCTTCGGATCAACATGTGTTGTAGCCTGTGGATCTCCAGGCTGGGGCAGCACATCTCATGCGGACTGGGGACCGCTGCATATCGCGCGCTCGCCTGTGACGTTCAGAAAATTTCAGCAGGGCCCTTCAACTTCGAGAAGGCCCTTCAGCTTCGACAGGGAGTTCGTCGCAATCGTCCAGTCGGCGTTCGGGGTCGTATTTGGCCGCGGGCGTGGCCGAACATTTGTCTTGGGGCGTTCTTCGGGCTCTCTTGGGGCCTTCTTGAAGCCATCTTGGGCTCTCTTGGAACCCTCTCATGGCCTTTTAGGGCAAGGTTGGTGTCCCTTGGGAGGTTCGTCTGGGAAGGTCCTGGGGCAGGTCAGGGGGGTCTTGGGTCCATCTTGTGCCAGTCTGCAATCGTCTTGGAGCCGTCTGGGGGTTGTATTAGAGGCGAGTTAGAGGCCTCTGGGGTACTCTTGGGAACATCTTAGGTGCATCCTGGGCCGTTGCAGGGTTTCTGAAGAGCCTCCTCGACCTTCCCGGAGATTTTCAGAACGTACTTTGAGCCCACGTTGAACAGAGAAATGCGACATGTGAAACACCAAACGAGCTGATGCGATTTTCATGATTCGTTGCTCTTGAGATCTGAGGCCCTCCTGGGGCCACCCCAGAGCTAACCGCAGATGTTTTGGGCCACGTTCGCGGCTATTCTTTGGCTGTTTGGGGAGCTTGCAGGTGGCAAGCTACTTTGGAGGAGTCCATCGGGCCCCGGAGGCGCACTGGTGAGCTCATCTCTGTCCTCGCCTCCAAAGGCCTCCTCCAGACCCCGCTGGGCCCTTTCCCTTCAATCGTCACTGTGGACATCCGAGGGAGGGGGGGAGGGGGACAATGGGGGAGGGGACAACCAAACATCTCACGCGCCTTCTCACCCCAAGCCAACGGGGCCTTCGGATTGTACGTAATTAGCCCCAGGGCGACATTCGGGCCAGGTCCCTGGGAGACAGAAGCAATGAACATTGCATTGCTTTTCTTCTTTCTGGTACCTCCTGAAGGGCTCCTCGCGGCTCTCCTGCGGCATATTGGTGAGGCGTGGAGAGCTGTGGGGCCAGCTTGAGGGTGCGCGGTGCTGCCAGGGATACCCTCGAGGTGTCTCGAGACGTCTGGGAAGGCCCTGCAGCCGTGGGGGGGCCACGAGGAGGAGGAGGAGGAGGAGGAGGAGGAGGAACAGCAGGAGGAGGAGGAGGAGGTGGAGGAGGGCGGATGAGGAGGAGGAGGAGAGGAGGAGGAGGAGGGCGGAGGATGAGGAGGAGGATGAGGAGGAGAATGAGGAGGAGGAGGAGGAGGAGGAGGAGGAGGAGGAGGAGGAGGAGGAGGAACAGGAGGAACAGGAGGAGGAGGAGGAGAGGAGGAGGAGGAGGAGGAGGAGCAGGAGGAGGAGAGGAGGAGGAGGAGGAGGGGGAGGAGGAGGAAGAGGAGGAGGAGGAGAGGAGGAGGAGGAGGAGGAGGAGGGAGGAGGAGGAGGAGGAGGAGGAGGATGAGGAGGAGGAGGAGGCGGAAGAGGAGAAGAAGGAGGAGGAGGACGAGGCGGAGGGGGAGGATGAGAAGGAGTAGGAGGAGGAGGAGGAGGCGGAGGAGGAGGAGGAGGAGCAGGAGGAGGCGGCGGCGGCGGAGGAGGATGAGGAGGAGGAGGGAAGAGGAGGGGGAGGAGGGGGAGGAGGAGGAGGAGGAGGAGGAGGAGGAGGAGGAGGAGGAGGAGGATGCTGATGCTGATGCTGATTATGCTGCTGCTGATGATGATAATCATTCTGATGCTGATGCTGCTGCTGCTGATGATGATGATGATGATGATGGTGGTGATGGTGATGATGATGCTGATGATGATGCTAATGATGATGCTGCTGCTGATGAGGATGAGGATTATGATGATGAGACTGCTGATGATGATGCTGCTGATGATGAGGGTGATGATGATGATGCTGCTGATGATGATGATGATGACGAGGAGGAGCAGGAGGAGGAGGTGGAGGTGGAGGGGGAGGAGGAGGAGGAGGAGGAGGAGGAGGAGGAGGAGGTGGAGGAGTAGCAGGAAGAGGAGGAGGCGGAGGAGGAAGATGATGAGGAGGAGGAGAAGGAGGAGGAATAGGAGGAGGAGAAGGAGGAAGAGGAGGAGGATGAGGAGGAGGAGGCGGAGGAGGATGAGGACTATTGTTATTAGCAATAATCGTACTAATGACAATACGATGTATACTCATACTACGAAGAAGACGGTCACTAATACCAATACTAGTCACACTCGTAGCACGCATCCTAATGGTAAAACGAAGACAACCACGAGGAATCCTACTAATACGACCACTGCTACTATTACCCATACTACGGGCACATATACGTAATACTAATGATGCAACTAGTAAGGCGAACAGCCATACTAAGACGAAGAGTAATACAACCCATGCTACTTGTACGAGTAATACCAGCAATAATAAGACGAACACTAAGAGTAGCACTAATACTAATACTAAAAACGCGAATGATACTATCATGACTACTATTAATCATACTACTAATACGTCTACAAAAACAATACTAATAAGACCTAGGCGAGTGATACTACTACTACTACTACTACTACTACTACTACTACTACTACTACTACTACTATTCAGAGTAATATTACTACTACGGATAATCATACTAGTGATCGTGTGGGTAACACGGATATTAATAATATATTAATACGACGGCGGAGAAGAATAATAACACTCAAAACAAGAAGGCGAACACTAATAACAATACGAAGACGACTAATCATGCGAGTAATAATATTACGAATGCTACGAATAATAGGACATATACTAATAATAAGAATGCGACGACTACTACTACTACTACTACTACTACTACGAATATTAATAACAATAAGAATGATAATAATGGGGTTCATCACAACGAGACGAATGATAACAATAAGAAGACGAATCATACTAATAATACTAATAACAATCATATTAATAATCATAATAACATTAATACTACTACTAATGATAATACGAATCATAATATTAATAATAGTACAAAAATAGATTAACAATATTAATACTAATACGAGTAATGCTATCATATGAAGAAGAGGATGAGGATGAGGAGGAGGAGGAGGCGGAGGAGGAGGAGGCGGAGGAGGAGGAGGAGGAGGAGGGGGGTTGGAAGGAGGAGGAGGAGGAGGAGGAACCGGAGGAGGAGGAGGAGGAGGAGGAGGAGGAGGTGGAGGAGGAGGAGGAGGAGGCGGAGGAGGCAGAGGAGGATGAGGAGAAGGAGGAGGAAGCGGAGGAGGAGGAGGCGGAGGAGGAGGAGGAGAAGGAGGAGGAGGAGGAGGCGGAGGGGGCGGAGGAGGAGGAGGAGGAGGAGGAGGAGGAGGAGGAGGAGGAGGAGGAGGGGAGGAGGAGGAGGAGGAGGAGGAGGAGGAGGGGGAGGCGGAGGAGGAGGAGGAGGAGGAGGAGGAGGAGGAGGAAGAGCATGTGCATGACCATATGACCAAGTCAATGAATCCACCACAATTCCTGAATTAAACCTTGCCTCGGGTGTCCAGTTCGGCCTTGCTCAAGACCTTCGGCCAGAGCCCCTGTGAGATTCGCCGCAAATGCTCTGCCACGGTGGGTGTCAGTCGAGGCGCACACTCTCTACCAAGGGCCAGCAGCTGCTTGGAACCGAAACTTCTACAATCTATACGCTACCATAATCGCAAATCACCATGAAACTGCATACGGTGACTCCGATGAACAAAAAGCCCCCCGCTATGTGCACCTGGGCTATGGGGGGCCTCTTATACATGGCACCGTTATACTTCTCGGGGGAGAAGCAGGCCGTCCTGAGCCACGAAGTCTTCGTGGCCTTCGAAGCCGAGCCTCCGCACGCGTCGCATCTACACCCAGTGTTGTCCACGCGGTGGGCCGGAGACAGAAGGGCGAGAGAGGCAGCAGCGGGGGGCGGGGGCAGGGCGGGGGCGGGGGGGCATTTTTTTGCACAGGCTCACTCTGCAGCTTGTCCTCGGCTGCCATCGCGTCCAGAATGGCGCGGAGAATGCGCATGCGCACGAGCCTGGCCGTCCTTTCCTTGACGAGCACAGCATGGCGGATTGCCTCTGGCAGGCGAGCCTCGACCGCCGCCTGCCCCGCCATTTCATCAGCAATGATATTACCTGCTACCATCCACCTCTGGGCTTTGCCCTCCACGATGGCCCGAGCAGACAGGTGCGAGTTCGTGAAGAAGACTGAAGTGGAATCGTGCACTCGCTTTTTCATGAGAAGGCCTAGAAGCGCCCACAGGTCGGCGTCCTCACCTGTTGACTCCTCGAACCTTCTATGATAAAAGCCTGCAACAACGGGTTCGCAATCCGAAATGAAAGCAGTGGATCCTGTGGTGATCCAAACTGCTAAGATCAAAGCGCGCAGCTCGCCCCGAGCAACCTGCCTGGGTCGTGGGAGCGGGCCTCGCACAGTCGAGGCGAGCTGCGATGTCGGCTCCAGCGCACGAAGGAAAACAATGGCAACTCCAACTCTCCGAAACAATCTGCTATGTGTGTCGGGGCCTCCGCTGGAGTCCCCAAAAACAAAGAGCGGCGCCTGCTCAGTGCCGCCTGTCACGCAGCCCTCGACTATCTCTTCATTCTCGAGCTCCTCGGTGCCGACCCACTGCTCTGTCTCACTCGGCGCTGGGACGGCTGTCCAAGGCGCTGGCGTGAGGCCTCTGAGCCAGAAGCCCTGATCCATGTCCGCTTGGGTCAGGGCCCGAGGGATCAGGTCGCTGGATTCGTCGTAGGCTGCGCTGTCCTCGTTGCATTCGCATTTCCACACTCTGTGGACCATATCTTCTGGGGCCTTGCGACGCCGCGGGCAGTCCACCGAGCCGTCGAACTTGCTCGACTCATCCTTTTTGCGCTGTCGGGGCCAGCACCCTCCAACAGCACATGCCAACATGACCTCCGACAGCCTGTGCCCGTGCCCAGGCACTGCGGCAAGCTGCTGCAGCAGGATCTGGTACGAGTCGCAGTCCACGCCCTGCTCGAGGCCCGCGCCGCCGCAGGTTGTGTCTCAGCGTCTGCTTGAAGTCGTTACTGAAGCCCTGGTGCGAGTCCAAGGCGGCCAGTTCTGAGTGCATTTCATCATCAAACTTCCACATGCCCCCGAATGCTGGGTGGCTGGGGGGCAGATCCCACGCCGTGGCCTGCTGCGGAGACCATCCCGCCTCGAGCAGGTGGAGGACGGTGGCCGTCATGGGCCCACGCACACGACGAACTCGTTGACCCTCTGGGAGCCCGCACATGTGCTGGTAGACCTTGTCCCAGGCCAGCCGCACTCCAGGCCGCGCGCCAGGCTGCTCCCGCCACGTCCTCAGCCGGAGGTCGAGGGTCTCGACGGGCAGTTTCGCCCCTTGGTCGAGGTCGCCAGCCCTGAGCGCCAGCAGCGTCGTCAGGCAGCGGCCCTTCGTCGGCGCGGCGAGGGCCATGCCCAACCGTCTGCGGACGAGGGTCATCCTGCCTCCGAAGGTGCCGTGGGCCTGGTGCCGGTGCACCCCCCCCCGCTCGGGCACCCTGCCTCTCGAGCCCGCCCGTCGTGCGGTGCTTGTGCGACACGCGGGCGGAGCGCCGCACCTTGCCGCTCATGGCTTTGTGATTCGCCTCCCTGTTCACTCTGGCCTCCCCGGCCATGCGCCCGCCGCCGCCCAGGTCGGTCCCCAGGTGCGTGGACTGGAGCTTCGGCTGCACTACGAAGCCCGCCAGCTTGACCTGGCGCGCGACCCACTTGGCATCCTGAAACGACGAGCACACAGTGATCGAGTTGGGTGCCACGTTCAAGTTCCCGGCCTTTAGAGGTCGCTCCCAGCTGCCCCAGGGTGCGCTCCTTCACACACTGCAGAAGTTCCAAACAGAGGATCTTCGGCGGAAGCTGCAACTCCAACGCACACGACGC